TTCTAGGTTTCACATATAAGTCTTTGATCCATCTGGAGTTCGTTTTTGTGTGTGGTGTGAGGTACAGATCTTGTTTCATTTTTCTGCAAATGGGTCTCCAGTTTTGCCAGCATATATGGTGATTCTTGAGTCTACTCCAACTTTCTTAAAAAAATGAATTATATGTTGTTCACTTCTACTTTTGGTAATGGCAGATTACATAATTCAGATCAACTTTTCCCAGAGAAAAACTAGAACTATGTTGAAGATTGGAGAGCTAACAGCATGAAGAAGAATTAAAGGAAAATAATAAAGCCTGTTTTTACTTAACGGTACCTAAGAAACTAAGATGCTCTTACAGTTTTACAATGATGGGAATACAGATTTTAGTCCATGGCCCGCTCGAGGTGAGGAGGAATTGGTAAACATTGATAGTACTGTTTGAGACCCCAAAGGGCTATTCTCTAGAAGTAAGTATGATCTGAAAGTAAACTGACCTGCAGAGGGACTGAAGCCCAGATTCAAATATCTCCCACAAAAATTAAATTAAGGTGATCCTGGATTGCCAGTGCCTGCCAAAAACATAAAATCTTTCTGGAAGAATATAACATTATCATAGATTTCAAATTATTTCTGTAATTTTTCACATACAATATTTGGTCCTTAATTAAAATAACAAAGAGACAAGATAACATGAACAAAGTAAAAGGGAAAAACCATAAAGCAGAAATAGACTCAGAGAGACACAGGTAGTGGAAAAATGAGGCAAAGAATTTAAAGATATATGCTTAATATGATGGAAAAAAAGTTCAGAATTTCTTCAGAAAATTGAGATTATGAAATTAAAAATTCAATAGATAGATTAAAAAAGCAGATAAAATGAAAAAAGAGAAAAAGTAAACTGCACGATGTATCACAAGAAAACATGAAATGATACACAGAGAGTGAAAAACATAAGAAAATACCAAAACAGACATAGGGAATGCAGTGGTAAGTTTCAACACATGAAAAGAAAAGGGAACAAGAAATGAGAAGAAGCAATACATGAAGAGCTGATGGCTGAGAAGTTTACAAAACTGATGAAAACACATAAAGCCATGTACTAAAAAACTCAATAAATCTAAAGCAAGATAAATAAAAGTAACATTATACTGCTGTTGTTAAGTGCCACCGAGTCTGCAACACTATGTACAACAAAACGAAACATTGCCTGGTCATGTGCCATCCTCACAATCCTTGCTACACTTAAGCCCGTCATGGCAGCCACTGTGTCAATCCATCTTCTTGAGGGTCTTCTCCTTTTTTTTATTGACTCTCCACTTAACCAAGGGAATAGTCCCTTCTAACAACATGACCAAAGTAGGTGAGACGAAGTCTGGCCTTTCTTGTTTCCAAGGAGCATTCTGGCTGCTCTTCTTCCAGGATAGATTTGTTAGTTCTTCTGGCAATCCATGGTACTTGCAGTATTCTTCACCAACACCACAACTCAAAATCATCAACTCTCCTTCAATCTTCCTTATTCATTGTCCAGATTTCATATGCATATGAGGCTATTGAAAATATCATGGCTTGGGTTAGGTGCACCTTAGTTTTCAAAGAGACATCTTCGCTCTTCAGCACTTGAAAGAGGTCTTTTGCAGCAGATTTTCCCAGTGCAATTATTGACTGCTGCTTTCTTTGGTGTTGATGGTGGAAGCAAGTAATATGAAATCTCTGACAATTTCAGTCTTTTCTCCATTTATCGTGATGCTACTTTTTGGTGCAGTTGTGAGGATTTTTTTTTTTTTTTATGTTGAAATGTAATCCATACTGCAGACTGTAGTCTTTAATCTTCATCAGTAAGTGCTTCAAGTCATCTCCACTTTCAGCAAGGTTGTGTCGTCTGCATATTGCAGGCTGTTAATGAGTCTTTCTCCAATCCTGATACCGTGCTCTTCTTCATATAGACCAGCTTTTTGGGTTATTTGGTCAGCATACATATTGAATAAGTATGGTAAAAGGGTGACACACACCCTTCCTGATTTTAAAACCATGCAGTATCCCCTAGTCTATTCAAATGACAGCCTCCTGGTCTTTGTACAGGTTCCTCATTTAAGTGTTCTGGAATTCCTTATCTTCTCAATATTATCCATAATTTGTTATGATCCACACAATTGAATACTTTTGCATAGTCAATGAAATACAAGTAAACACCTTTCTGGTATTCTTTGCTTTCAGCCAAGATCCATCTGACATCAGCAATGATATCCCACATTCTATATCCTCTTCTGAATCCACCTTGCATTTCTGGAAGCTCTCTGTCAATACACTGCTGCAACTGTTTTTGAATTATACTAAGTCATACCATATTACAATGTTTGAACACTAAAGGCAGAGAAATTCTTGAAAGCAGCCGCAGAACTAACAAATTATACATATATATATATATT